ACCCCAACCTTAAAAAATGAACACGCCACATCTTATGCTCAAAAAAATGGGCACAAATTATAATTAATTATTCGCGTCAATTAGAAACACTCAGCAAGAAAGGTGATACCTCGCCACTGGTACCAATTGCCATAGCTCAGGAAAAATAGCTTATTGTGAAGCTCTAGTCAATACTGACTACGTCAGACTATATTAGAGATATGAGATAAAAAAGTGGTGATAATTAAAAATTAAAGTGATTATCCCATCGAATAAATGGATTAGTACCAAATAGCGTAAAGTTTATACTATAAGCTTGAAAAGCTAATAGAGATAAACAGAATTTTTATCGCAACTTTTAAACACAAGTAACATTGTCTAGAAATGATGTATTTTAAATAAAGTTCTTTGAATTTACTTTGAAAAAGTTAAGACATAATAAAAATGTACAAATGAGAAACACATCTGTAAAGAGATTCTGTATAGAGTCCAACGATATCAAGCAACAACTATAGTCAATATGATGGTCTTAAGATTAAAATGTAGTTATCTTATATCAGTAATGCAAAAATTAAATATTTGGCTATAAGCCCAAAACTATTATATATGCAAGTTTAATTAATATCTCAGCATTTTTGTTGACACTTTCAAAAACATTTGTAATTATAAAACCTAAAGCTCATCGGTAATCAAATGCTTAACCCACAATGAATATACAGACACAAATCGCTGCTGCTTTTAGGTTAGAATCCTTGATTTTGTATTCAATAACGAATGACTATGTTTATTTCTCATAAAAAATTTTTATGAAAAAAAAGATAATTATGAATTACACAAAAATATTTATCGGCACACATTTCACAAATTATATTTGAAACCACAATTTCTAAAATATTTTAAATTTTGCAATATAGACTGTATCTTCTAATTATAAATCTATAATCAGCAACCAGCAATTGTTGCACACATTGCAAGACAATACTAAACGCTATTTTTCATTCTAGTGACTTTCTAGTTGAATGACATGTTTTCATCACAAATCAATTCAAAAGTCTCAAGAATTTCACGTATTTGCACATAGGGAATATGAGATGAAATTAAAATTCTTACTGACTGAGAACAGATAACGTTAGATACATTTGTTAGTACTTTAGCTACAATGCCTGTACTAAAAATTATCTTTAAAAATGTTTACAACCTCAATTGTACATACGTAATATGTGAGTATCATCGCACCAATAAATTAAAATAAAAATATGATTATAAAATTTATTTAAAATTTTTTTTTAAAGGGTCTTCGTTTCAAAACTTCTGATATTTTGCCTATTCATTGCATTAAGTTGCGAAATTACTAATCAAATCTCACGCTCAGTCGCCGACGATTTCAAGTTCTCTTACGAGCCGCAGATAAGATAATTAAATAATTAAGCGTTTATATAAAATATAAATTAATTTAGCTTATAGTTAAAAGCGTGCCAGTTAAAATACATTAATATGTGTACGAAACACAAACTAGTATGTATATTATTATTATATAGACGATTTAAAAAAAAATTATTTTTTTATCAAGCTAAAAAACATCAACTTTTATTAAAATTTTGTATAAAATAACAAATGTACGAGTATATATAAATGGACTTTTATTAAACGAATTGCTTTCTAGAGTATCAGTCGCAAAGCAGTTGACGAGTCGCGAAATAGTATTATTATTTTTTTAACATTAATATGGCACCAGTAACAGAAGTGTATAATCCCGATGAATTGGAAGCACCACAATGGTTGAATGGAGAGTTCTTAACAAAAGTCCTTAAGGAATGTGAAGGGGACAGTGCAATTGTCATCAAAAACCACAAACTCACACCAGCAACAGTACGAGGTGATCATTATGCCAGTGTCATGTTCAGAGCACGGGTTGACTATGAACAAAATGGTGAAACCAAGTCTAAATCCTTGATTATAAAAACAATGCCAGAAGAGAATGGAAATAAAAAAGACTTTTTGCAAGAATCTCAAATATTTGAAACTGAGATCGGAATGTACAGTGAAGTGGTACCAAGATTTGAGAAAATTTTGCGTTCAGTGGGTGCAGAGACGGTATTGGGTGCAAAGTGAGCTTGCTTTTAATATGATTAGTGCATATTTTTTGGCTGACTGAGAATGTTTCTACTTTTAGGTGCTTGTATTACAGTTTAAGTCCAAAGAAAATTATTGTATTCGAAGATCTGGTGACAAAAGGCTATTCTGTTCTACGACATCGTCTACCTACAATGGAGGAAGCTAAATTGTCTTACTTGAAGTTAGCCAGATGGCATGCTGTAAGCTATAAACTACTGCATGAGGTAATTGATAATTTAACTATTATTTATATTTGTTGATCCTATTTATTCATGATTTAATTTCTTAAGGACACATTAGCTAAATGTTTTAAAATTTTTAAAAAAATATATAAATTTTATTTGTTTTGTGACCAAACTATTTTTATAATTTTTATTTCATCGATATTTCGACTTCAGTCTAAAGTTTTTCTGATAATAACTTCAGACTAAAGTCGAAATACCGATGAAATAAAAATTTAAAAAAATAAAATTAAATTTATTTTACAACAATAATTAAATTTCACCAATTAGCCTGCAAAAACACTTCAAAAAAATTATTATTAATTTAGAAAAGGATTTTTTAATAAAATTTTCTTACTACTTGCCGTCATCAATGAATATTTAAATGATAGACATGAAACCTTTTTAGATATTATAATATTAATATTTAAAAATCATTTATACCGCTAAGTTCTTCGAATTCGAATAAATATCTTGAATAAAGAATTTAAATTATATTAAATTTTAAATAATAGCTACACTATAAACTGATTTTTTAGTTGAAAAAGCAGATTATTTTATTTGTTTTACTAAACTATAAATAGTTAAAATACAATATAATAGTTTTATAATGCAAATATATAATATGTTGCGAATATAATATAAAAATATAATAATATCAAAAATACATTTATGAAAATTTAATTAATAATAGTTATATTTCTTAATAAAATTTATAATTTTTTAAAAAAAATTTATAATATTTGAAAATGAATCTTTTTAAAGTATTTTTAAATAGTTTCATGAAAAAAAATATATATATATCATATAGATATATCAAGATATATCAAGATATATCAAAATATATATTAGTATTATCTTACACATCTTATTTAAAAATATTTTATTTCCTACTATCATTTTACAGGAACCTTCTTACTTCGATAACTATCGTTATGGCCTCATGTCCTTAACTAATATGGTGGAGTCTGATTTTTTTAGCAAAGGCATCAATCTCTTTATAGAGTTATTGGACAGAACACCTACTTTGATGAAATATAAGTCTTATTTTGAATCTATACAAAAGGATTTGCTAAAAGATTGTAAAGAAAGTTTCAATGAATATCGCGCTGATAAACAAAATAATACCGACTATGTGCTATGCCACGGCGACTTTCACAGTAAAAATATGATGTTCAAGAACAATGAGAAGAGTGGCAAGTTTGAGGATTTGCTGTTACTAGACTTTCAAATGACATATGTTGGTCCTATTGTTAATGATATAATTTATTCTTACTACATGTTATTAACACCCGAGTTGCGTTTGAATAAATTTGATGAGCTGTTATACTACTATTACACAAATTTCAGGGATACTTTGAAGAAGATTGGTTATAAAGGCACAGCACCGAAATTAGTTGAGCTGAGATCGCAAATAGTAAAACAGAAAAAATTTGGTAAATAAATATTAAATTTTTTAATTCTTATATATTCAATTTTATATTAGTAAAAATATTCATTAGTTTTACGTATTTAAATTTAAATTAAATTTTTTTTTATTGCAGAATTGTTTATGTTAACCACATTTTTACCGATGTGGTGTGTCTTTGTGGTAGGAAAAGCCGATCCGGACGAGATGGTTGTTTCTGAAGATTCTCGAAGAAGTTTATATAAAAATGAGGATTATATCAAAGAACTCCATGATCTGCTGCCGAAATATTTACACATGGGTTACTTTGAAAATTAGTTTAAATTTCGAAACATATTGTTTAAATTGGTAATAGATATAAAATAAAATAAATTCTTGAACTACACAAATTATTCAATATTTTTTGTAATGTGTTTTTTGTTTAGTTTTAACAAAATTCGCTTAGTCTTCTTCTACAGCTTATACGGATATTTATCTCAAAGAATAAATAAGATATTAAAGTATAAATGTATCTAAAAGATGTAGAAATGCTTTAATCGTAGATAACTAAAAACGTTGTATAATGTTATCTTTGAATTAAATAGAATGAGATGCAAAGATGCAAAGATTTAAGCTAAACAAATAACACATAGTTATCTTAATAATATAACTGGAACTTTTGTCTTCGAGAATTAACTGAAAGTCTCTTCAGTATTTATATGATCAAAATATAAACTAAATTATTATTATCACAACAACGAGTAGGTTTCTCTTAATAAAATTTCAAGGAGAATGTTAGAATTATAATTAAGTATTTAAAAAAGCAATTACCCACAAGATTCGTTTATTCACCTTGAAATTATTTGTAATTTATAATTTACAATTATTTACAAGGCAATTTAACTATTTGAGTACTTGTTTAAAGTTGTTAATAATAGCATATTTGTATTTTTTATTTCGAAATTGCTCACTCAATACAAAACTTCTCCCGTTTAGTACTAAAATTCTCATAATATTCTCAATAGCAGCAGATAAGATACTAACAATAATGAAGCGACACTAAACACTGTCTGTTTACATTTATATAAAACCTAAACTAAATAAGCGTTTGACTAAAAGTGCTCACGAATTAAATGAAAAACTTGCACTCGAGATATGCATTTAATATAAGTATTGAAAAATTTATTACAAACATACATGTTGGCATTGTTATCAGCAAATATTTTTATATATTTATTTTGCTAACAATTTTCACTAAAATGAGAAACACAAGTTTAAGTAGATTCAAGTTTATACAAAACGAACTATTTTGAAACAAGTCAGTCGTATAACCAACTCAGTGATATTAAGTACATTTATTTTTTGAAACGGAATATGGAAACAGAAAATCTCGTCTATAATACCGACGAACTGGAAGCACCGCAATGGTTGAATGCAGATTTTTTAACAAAAGTGCTTAAGGAATGTGAAGGGGACAGTGCAATTACCATTAAAAACTACAAACTCACACCAGCAACAGTGCGAGGTGATCATTATGCCAGTGTCATGTTCAGGGCAGAAGTTGACTATGTACAGACCGGACGGTCAAAAACCAAGTCGATGATTATTAAAACAATGCCAGAAGAGGATGGCAGTAAAAAGGAGTTATTGCAAGAAACTCATATATTTGAAACAGAGATCGGAATATATAGTGAAGTGATACCAAGGATGGAAAAAATCTTACGTGCAGTTGGTGATAATACAGTGTTGGGAGCAAAGTGCGTTCTTTTCATTATAAAGTTTTTTGTATATATATAAAGTACGTTTTTTTTTATTGGTTTCTTATTATTTGTGTTTCTAGATACCTGTATTATAGTTTGAGTCCAAGAAAGGTTATTGTTTTTGAGGATCTCGTGACTGTTGGCTACAAAGTTCTGCGTCAACGTTTGCCCACTATGGAGGAAGCTAAAATGACGTATCTGAAATTAGCCAAATGGCACGCCGTGAGCTATAAGTTGTTGCAGGAGGTAATGCTAACTCAAAATATTTAATAATATTAGTATGAAAGATTAGATAAATAAGATTAGATTTGTATAGTGGCTCTCTGTTTGCATTTTTAAACAACAATCATGTTTTGTTAGCAGTACAAAGTTAGAGAAAGTAAAACATAAAAATAATAAACAATAATTGCATTTCTCCGTTAGTTAAGAACAAAATATGACATAATCATAACAACCGTCTGTCAGATGTTAAGTATAAGTAAATTGCTAATTAAGAAAACTTCTAAATATAATTACTTTTTCCGCAATATTAAATACTTTTTGTATTCTACATCATTGCTTTTTAATAATATCTTCGTTGAAAATCTTTCAGTACTCGGCATCTTTACATTAAATGTTGAAAAGCTTCTACTTCATATTGATTTTAATATACATAGTATGCTTTCTTCAAAAATAGCTACAAAATAATGTGATTGCATTATTTACTAGTTATGTTATGTTGAACCTTTTCCGAGTTATTGCATCTGGACACTTTTACTCTATGATGACTGTGGGGTTTCTGCAGAGTCCCACCCATCTCACTGACTAATTTGAATATTCTTCATATTCCTCATATTCTTCATATTCCTCATATTCTCATTCCTCATATTCTTACATATTTTTTGATCTGCGTACCGCCCCGTGTGATTAGTGATTACTCTGACTTCAGAGCTCTGTCCTTTATATATTTTTTGATCGAATCTATTCTAAGGTCTCCTAACATGTCATTCGTGTGTGTGGCACTTTGAAGAGCTTTCGGAGAGCCTGACTTTGAGCAACTTGTAGTTTTTGGATAGTAGAGTCGGCAGCTTTGCTATAAGCGACACACCCATAAAGTAGTGCTGGTCTAATTATCTGGCTATAGAAAGCTTTCTGTTCTTCGCGCTAAGGTTATTGTGTTTGAAAAGTGGTTGTAAACAGTGCAGTGTTTTTGTGCAATTACTTCTTTTGACTTGTATGTGCTTGTGCCAAGTGAGCCGCTGATCAAACGTGATCCCTAAGTATTTGATGCTGTCCTCCTAATTAATAACGATGTCACCAACTCTCACACTCGGTGGATGTTGCCTGTGTTTACTAGTATGAGTAGTATCATAGTCTTCTCCATTCATATGAAGATAGTTTCATACTTAATTCGCAACAGTAATTTTTAATAAATTAAGTGAAACTGTTCACTTATATGCTTAAGTAACTTAAAATTTTCTGCTGCAACTTATGGATACAATATTAAAATGAGCATTTACCATTATTATGCATAAATTAAGAAAGACTGCTTTATACTAACTAATAATTTTCCCAACTGTTCTTAAAAATTACTTTTGTAAATATAAGGAATTAGCTATAAACTAATTATGTCTTAAACTAACAACTGAAGCGACACTTCTGAAACACCCCCATAAATGCATATCTTTATAAAATTATATAGTTTCAGTGTAGTTAAGAAGTATAAAAAAATTTAAAAATATTTTATGGAAAATTTCTAAATATAATTTAAATTAAAATGTAACAACAATTTTACGCAGAGCATTAACCACTTTTGATCATATATTACTACCTATCGGGGCATTCTTAGCCCAATATTATTAAATGTTTTTTTATTTATTATTAAGTTTTGATTTTTTACTATCTTACAGAATCCTACATATTTTGATAAATATCGTTATAGTATCATGACCCTTACGAATTTTGTTGAATCCGACTTCTTCATTAAAGGCATTGACTTGTTTATAGAGCTTTTGAGTGAAGTACCAACTTTAAGGAAATATAAGTCTTATTTTGAATCCATACAGCAGGATTTAATACAAGATTGTAAAGATATTTTCACACAATATACAGATAAAAAACAAAGCAATACTGACTACGTGCTTTGTCATGGAGATTTTCATTGCAAAAATATGATGTTTAAACACAACCCCGAGAGTGGAGAATTGGAAGACTTAATGCTGCTCGACTATCAAGTGTCCTATGTTGGATCACTCGTTAATGATATTATTTACTCATACTTTTTAATATTGAATCCAGAGATGCGTTTGAATCACTTTGACGAAATGCTCTATTATTACTTTAAAAATTTTACTGAAACTTTGACAAATATTGGTTACAACGGAGCGGTGCCAAAGTTAGAAGAGATTAGATCGCAAATAATGAAACATAAGAAATTTGGTGAGTAACAATTGTTTATACTAAAATATATTTACTTGATATATTATATTCATATATATACACATAATTATATACAATGTTGATTGTTTATATAACTTTTTCGTCTCTATCTCATTCATTCTCTATTGCTCTCTCTCTCTCTCTCTCTGTCTCTCTTGCTCTCTTTCTCTTTTACTTTGGAATACTTAAGATATTATTTGAAAGTATTGTTTTTCAAATTAATTTTACTTGCAATAAATTTTATTGTAAACGTCACCCAATTTTGGATTTACATTTTCTGTTTCATTGGTTTTAATATCTTGATTATTACTGTTATATTTAATATAATTTTATTTTTTTAATTTATTCGCTGTCTCATCTTTTCATATTCCAGAACTGTTTCTTCTAACGACAATGTTGCCTATGTGGTATGTCTTTTTTGTTGGCGAAATTGATCCTGATGAAATGATAGAATCGGAAGATGCTCGAAAAAATGTGTATCGAAATAAAGACTACATCAAAGAATTACATAATTTGCTACCCAGATACATGCATTTAGGTTATTTTGAAAATTAGAAAAATTGTGGCAGTTTGTCATAATAACAAAAAAAAATGAAATAATTTTACTATACCAGAACTAAAATAATTTTATTTTTATATGAAGAAACAAAACTGTAATCTTGCAAAATGGTTTAGTAGGTTTGATTATAAAACAAGAAAATGTATCAATTTAATCTAACCAGTCGAAAATGGATAACGTCACAAAGCTGAAACCTGCTCAATGAAATCTTCTAGCGATTTAAAAAATCCATAGTGCTTTTTCCAGCAAATGGTAGAATGAATTCTGACAGACAGTCAAGCAGCCGTCCAAGTTAATACAGCCGTGTATATGTTATCCAATATAGATTATAATTTTCCACTTCCGAAAGTAGTATAAGGTCGCGTTTCCAAGGAAATACGTTTTGAATTCCGGCTAACGCGGATATAGACAAAAAACAGAACATGGTGATAAATTGCTAAGACTTGAAAATATTTTCACAGAAATACCAGTATTAATTTCTTTAATGTTTGTTCATAAGAAGATTTATCTAAAGTGATGTCTTATAACAGACCAACAGGTCTTACTTCAAAAGACAGATCAAGAAGACATGACGTAAATATTCCAAAGCTAGAACATCAGACTTCATTTGCCGGTATATAATAAAAATATATAGAATACTGTCGGCTTTTGGAAGACGTTGTCCTATCAAAACTCGTAAAAGCATGAAAAATGGGTACTGCAATTCCGTATTTTTATATTCACTTTACTTTCAACTTAAAAATCAGTCCAATTCTTCCGCATGTCAAAGCGTCCAGTTGTTTGTAAAATACCCAAACTTTTTCCAAAATAATTTAAACTCAATATGGTTATAAAACTGATAGAGGACGATTCAATTTTATTCCCTACCTATGCATTTATGTCCTTTAAAGAAAAAAGATAAAAAACATAATGAATTAAAAGTAGCTTGTATTGGGCTCCAGAAAGTTCTGGAATGCACATCTGACTTTTATCACAAGAATGTTGGGCTTACACTTCGTAACAGAAAAATATAATTTCAGTTTTATGAGTACTTTTTGAGATCCTAAAGTTCTTGCAATCACCTTTAATAAGAACAGCATTTTTACGGTGTACAATCAGAATTTTAACACAAGCAGGGCTAGATTGAAATAATATGAAAAGAATTTTTTTGCTGTAAGTTACTAATTTTCGTAACTTAGAATGCTTTTAGTTTTAATTTTTACATATATACATATATATATAGAAAAATGACAAGATAGCAGATTAATTTCTCTGTTGATGAAAGGTACATCTATTGACCTTTGAATAAACTTTGCATATTAACTAGACAATTCCTAATTCTGATCAAGCGTAAATATGTTCCATTACTTGCTACAATAACTAGTACGAATATCTGCTAATATTTGAATAAATAGTTGATGTCTAGTTATACACGCTAAACAAACTTGAAAAACGATGTGACGTCAAAACGCTTCGACATATAAATTATTTTTAGTATTTGTTTATGAATGGATTTCAATTTATTTTTAAACAAATATAATAAAAATTTGTCTGCTGATATAATACTAGACCCCTTGATGTACTTTAGCAGTACATCTTATCAGTACAAGCGTCAAGTGTCGTACGTCGCGTTGTAGTGCAGCTGTTCGGCGCCGGCCAGAAAGAACTTTGCAAAGGAACTTATCAAGAGGAAAATTTTTTCTTGTGAACATGATTTGCAAAAATTCTAATAACTAATTGTTATTGTTTTAATATATTTTTTTAATTAATTTTTATTATTGTTTATAATTAAAATTTTTTTTTGTCCATACAATGAATTTCATCAAATTTTGATATTCGAATTTAGTTTATTTTAGAATGTTAATCAATTGAAGGCTGTAAATGCTTATATACAATATTTTAATAAATTATCACCTGCTAGACGGGTTATTAAACTGATTAAACGATAAATGATTATTTCAATTAAATGAGCGATTACTTGATTCTAATGAAACCGTTGGCGGCCTGATATAAACATGTCTGTATTGAAAGCTTTAGTTTGAGGACATGCCCGAACATCAGCCCCACTTTTCAATATCTGGTTACTTGCCAACTAGTGACTGCAAACTTAATGAGGATCTTAGCGCCATATTGTACCCTCTTTTCTGATATCCGCATACCATTCAGTAGTGAGGAACTAAGAGCTACATTGTCATTGGCCTCAGATACTAAATTCACTCAGAATGCAGTGGACGAGCACCGGTTACCAACTCAAAATTCATATTAACAACAACGATGTTAGCTAATCGATGGAAGCGATACTTTAAGGTGGAAATCACATAGCTATACATACTTCTAGACATCTTCCCCATTAGAGAAATTAAATATTTATTCAAGACCTCAAAGTTTAAATTTAGCAAAAGTAAAAACATTTTCATGTTTTCTATTCAAAATCAATCCAAAAATTTTTATCTACTCATTACTAAAATATCCTTAGTATATTTCACTTAATTGCAGATACAATTACGATGTTTGATTGAAGCTCTTTAAAATACGTGCTATTTATTACAGCATATACAATGAAAGCATATAACGAAGTTATCTCCGGTATATAAGTTAATAAGAGATAAAATCTGTGCCAACAATGACTACCAAAGCACCAACCCAAGAAGAATAGCACTAATAACGTATAACAAATCTGATTTGATATAATAGGATATATCTTTTGTTAACTTTTTCTTCTAGTTGGACACAGGACCTCAATAAAGAATGTTTTTGATGTGAAAATAAAGTACTTGCCAACTCTTAAGGAAGATTGTTGCACCATTAATAATTGCAACCAATCATAGAGGATTTTTGTTGAATTTCAATGAAATTGACAATGTCTCAAATTCAATGAATACTAAGTTATTCAATACGCATGCATAAATTGTTGAGGAAAATACATTTTTGTCTTCTTTTGATGTCATGGAATTCTTGCAACATGTTGCATACGAGCTTATATAAAAAAATTGTTTCGCATTTAAATTTTGACTTGATTTCTGAATTCATTTCATTTCGTTTCTCATGCAAACTACGACCAAAATTTTTATTTTCCATTTGCTACGAGAATTTTAATCAAAACTCAACTACAATGCATAACTCCTTGCTTTAAAGGTTCTGCACTGTACATCCTTTGCAAAAAATTTTGGAATGCATAATAATTCAGCTATGGAATACTACCAAATTTAGAACACTCAAAGTGCACTTTTAGGATTTTTAAGAATATGCAGAATATCAATTAAAAATTCTTAGACCTGTTCTTTCTAAACGAGATTTAAGTCTTTAAATTATTTTCAATGAAATCAAATCACATTCTGAAAATATCAAATTTTTCAACTTTTTAAGTAATTTATTTCATTTTCATTAAAAGCCAGTGTTTGCAAAATAATTTGTTGTTTCCTTTTTTTTTTGTTTTTTAAATGTCAATCAATTATTTGTTAAAATTTTTTTCAGTGTATGTAATTCCTTTGCCAAGAGCAAAGTAAATTTGACTAAATCGTTTTATTGCACTTTAATTTCCCCTTTTGCAGTGAACGTGATTTCAGTTAGCTTTACCTGCTTTACATATAAATTGTGTCAACGAGTGCATCAGTTGCATTTCCACTCTCAGAATGTCCTTACAAGCTCGTTAAGCAAAAGAAGGTTAACAGCAAAAAAGGGTGAACATAAAAGTACATACAATGCACAAAAAAGTTAATAAAAACGTAAATGGAAAGCAATGAATTATAAAATGAAAGAACAACATTAATAAAAATCCTTCAAATTAATTTTAATTAATACAGAAAGGATTTAAATACGCAGAATTGAAAAGTAATTTAATAAGTAATTATATTTCGTTATAAATGCGAACCATAAAAGCATAAAACATGAAGATAAAATATTTATGCGAATTTTTTAAACTATATATATAACATTACTTTGTCATATTCCTTATAATAGTAAGGGCTTATGATGACATTAAGGATATGAATTTTATATTTAATATTTTTAATTTTAATATTAATATTTGTTAAAAAATTAACTACTGTAGAACCAAATAATCATGCACAGTAAGTTGGTGGTAATGTTCATTAAACTTACAGTTAAGTATAACCTTGTCAAACGTTTCACTCAAAGATATATAAAATAAGAATATCGATTGATTACACGTTAAAGCAATTAAATAAAACCAAAAAGTATATATCTCAACCAAAATTTATTACTTCGAAAAAAATTTTATGTTCTCATCAAAGATACAAAACATTATGCGTTATAATTTGAATAAGGATAAGCTCAAGCTCTTGAAAAGTAATTCCAAGTTTTCTTTTAAGCAACTTTGATGGTAAAGACAGATTTAGATTAAGACATTAAGATGATTAAACTTAATGGTAATTTACATAAGTGCATCTTTTCTATATTGATTTATTGCATTAAACCAAAAATAAAAGAATTTAATTGAATTAATTTATTTAACAAGAGATATGAATATTAGTCCATACTGGTTTAGTTAAGTATTATTTTATATAACTAATGCCAACCGAGAACTACCCTGTGAGGAATGGCTTTCGGAAAACAAAAGTCTAAGAAAATAATATTTTGTAGCAGAGCTTACGGTAAGGTAATTACATTACAATATTTTTTTTTATAGTTCATAATAACATTCTTTACATAATAGAAACGAAATGTTTGTAAGACTTTACATATAATTGAGAGACATTGTACATAACCTCTTCTCTTGTTAGATGGACATATTTATGCGAGTAGAGATAGCATCAATGGATACTTGGACTCAATAATATTTAAAAATCATCATTTGTTAACTGAAATACAGGATTTTGCTGCAAGGAATCGAGACCGTACAACAGAATAATACAAAGTCTCAAAATCTACTGCGTTATCAACAAACTTGAATTCACAATTTTTATGGACTATTGGGGTTCACAAGAAGCATGGGTACTGTTGATAAATAGCGTGGTTTTATCATAGACAATGTTAGTAAAGCTTCTTAAGTTATTTTCAGGAATGCATTTAATCACCCAGCCTAGAACATTAAGCAATGGCAATAGTGTGGATAAGTTAAACAGGAAACAGTTGCCTAAATTTAAGATTGTGAGTAATAAATAATACTGCGTTTAGGTAGATAAGCACATCAAGTACACATATATCCATAACAAAGTATGTTATTGATCCTCTCATATATTAAACTGTGATAGAAATACTTTACGCGCCGGTATAATTATGCATAATGCATCTACTAGGAAAACTATATGTTTTTAAAAGGTATTTAAATTTAAAAAATTTATTAATTAAAATTTCTGAGTTGCTTATCTCTAGAGAAAAGCGAATACATTAGAAACCGGAGTAAAGACTTTCGGAATTGAATAGGATTACAAATAGATTAATGTTACGAATATTTCAGAAAACTTAACACTAACTTATATAGTGGTTTAATATTGCCTTAAAGCTTAACATATGCAATATTAAGATAACTAATTAAACAACACAAATAACATATTAGATTGTATTGGCTTGCTAGTTTTTAGAAATGCTGGCATTATTTATTGTTTTTCTTGACTTCGTATACTGTTAGATATTATTTTACCTATTAATTTTATAGGAAAGTAAGATACCAGAGTTTTACGTTAAAAAACTGGTAACCATATTATGGAATATTTTCGTTAATGCCACTTCAATGGAGTTTCTGTAAAATTTCTGTTGCATATGAAAAGTGTGTTTTCATATAAAGAAAAAATGTATATATACAAAAAATTGAGAGATTAGAGATATACTAATTGATTTCGGTGATACAAAAAGACAGCAAAAAAGTAGAAGTAAAAAAAGTGTATTTATTATTATGTAGTTCAATTTAATTTAATAAACTAAGCTTAGTCAGCAATTCTACTAAAGTATCGTAAACCATTAATTAGTATATAATATGTATTACCACCAGGAGTAGCCTCAACTTGTAAAAAACATTTTTAAGTTGAATAATTTGCTTCAAAATTGTAATAATACCAGTTATGACATACATATCTAGTATGAGAGCACTGTAATCGTATAGATGAACTCAACATTATTTGGTTCTGTGTCTGATAAGCAGTAAATATTTGTATTAGCTGTTAGTTTAAGAGCCGTCGTCTATTTGGTTGTAATAGCCTAAATTTTTTTAAATCGGTTAAAAAATATATACAAAAATTTCACATAATTTTTATGTGTGGTTCACTCAAATACTTCTCACCTCTGACTGTTACTTTTCTATACGAAGGTAAATAAATGTGACATACAAATTACTTATACCCAAGTAATGTCAAGCGTAGAGGATATTAACCTTTTTCTTCTGTATTTAAGCATAAAGCAAAATCTAACAAAGAGACGGCAGTTAGTGTAAAAATATTTAAAAGTATTAATCAACGCGCAAAGAGTGCAATCCGCAACATATATTTCCCAACAATGAAAGTGTTTGGTTTGGAAAATTGCGCTACTTCATTTGTGGCTTTGTTGTGTTTCCTAGAAACGCTTAAGTATGTTCCGGAACATTTGTTCAGGTTCACTCAAAATTTATGGCTGCAGTAAGAGGAAGCCAAGTGACAAAACTGCTGTCTGCAGTCGAAATTTATAAATGCAGCTTTGTGGTCAGGTGCAATTCTGTTATTACTTCGACTATGCTTTTTAAATTAATCTTACTGAAAGGAAACCAAACGGAAAAATAACGATTATTTTAACTTTCTCACCTACGAGCACTTTGTTAATAACATACCTGTCAGTGACACAAAATATTAGAAAAACCATTTAAATAGTGTAAGCTAAAAATATATCTGCCCATAAATAATATCAATTTTTAACAATGTGAAAGAGTCTAGTAATTGTTTACTACTGTAACAAAAAATTCTTGGACAGTTAGAGTGAATGGTTGGAATAAGACACGAACTGCCCATTGATCCCTCACATTATCAGACGGAATAAATGTTCGAAGGTTTTTTTCTTAGATAAAACCATCGTGCGCTTTATATAGATTACTTAAAATATGTTTTTTCAGACCAGATCTTAGCAAATCTTAAATTCAGGTAATATGTGCCGTAAGGTCTTTTACTTTTCTGCTTTAAAAGTTTTTTTTAGAGAATTAGCCCTTTTATTGATACAAAACATAGTACAGTATTTTCTTAATAATTTCATTTATTTATTCCTACCCTTGTTATTGCCTCTTGTTTTTCTATACTTTTTTCATATATTCTCCATTAATATAATTTTCCTCTACGTTCCAAGAAAATTGTTACAAAATGTTGATAAATATCATTAAATTAAGGAGTAATAAAATCACTGTTATTAAATTAAATCTAGTCGGAAGTGTGTTTAATGCTCTGAGGTTATTGTTGTTGCCAGGTACACAAAATACTTGCATATGTAAAATTTTATTATTGTCCTTTCCACAGTGCGTGACTCAAGTCAATTTGTGGCCAAATGCAACCACATGCGGAAATGGCAGCGCAACACATGAAAAATGTTTTTCGAAAACAAAGTATTAGAACAAAGAACTGAAATGTCACCGGAAATAGAATATACACTAAACAGAAAAAAACTATTGAGAAATGGAAAATAATTTCAATGCAATTCTGAACTGTCAATTGTGCGAATTGTTTTAGGTGTTGACATTAAAGTCAAGCTGTGCGACAGAAGTTATTTCAGGAGCACAGTTTGAGCGAATCACTTGTACGTAGTTGGAACTACAATTTCGTAAATTTTGGAAAATAAATATTGTTTATTTAATATAAAAATTTAATAAAAATATCTAGAAGAAATAATTGATAAGACAAATTAATAAAATGAAAAATTAAAAACTAGGCAAATATAACTTTTAATTTATTTGATAACGCAAAATGATGAAATGATAAATAGTTAGGTAAAATTGTTGGTGTAAAAACATTTTCATTACTTTCTCCATTAATTTAAGTTTGGACTTAAACTTCACTTGCGTCAAAATACACGTATGTGGAAATAAATTTTTTATAAAAGCTTATAAAAATTTATTTTGTATTTTTTTTTAAATGCAAATTCTGTTCTCAAAAATAAAAATAAAATATTTCTATTATGTTTCTATTTCTAAATATAATATATTTCAGAAATATTTTATTTTATCTAATTTTATGGTATTTGCCTATTGAACTCACACGTTTTCATTATTTTGAAGTAATCATTTGTCATCATGAAAAAATACTCATACGCCACGAGGTATGCACCGCCTGCTAAAATCAATTTCAACGACAATTTTCCATTTTTCAATATTTTTCCCTCATCATAAAATTTTAAGTATTTCTGAATACGTTTTCTTAAAGTTTTATTTTATTTTACACTTCGTGTGAACTGTGTATATAGAAGGGCTAAAGTTTCTGCGTTCCCCAATTGAACTAAAATATTGAATAGGCTGAATAAAATACTATAAGAAGTTTAAGAAATCCATGAAATATATTCTAACTTATTATGAAAGTGTACATAGTGAAAAAATGTGTCTTGTTTACTTGTTTTAGTCATTATTCTCTTTTTTAGAACAGATTTTAAATCAGCCACTTCCTAAATAAATAATATAAATACATAGAAGCTGATATAATAAAATTTAAGCTTCCACTTAATTTTTATAATTTTTTTTGTATGTGTGCGTGGGGGGACCTTTTATATATATATAATAAAATGAAAATACATACATTTATTAACGTAAATATTTTTGAAAACCACTCCCAATTTACTAACAATTTATTTCAAAAATAAATGTTTTTTATGAAAAAATATTAAATCTGTCGCTTGTTTACTTTGCAGTTAATGGGCTCACACTTATATTTTTTTGCCGGCAGGATGAAGTCGTTGACTTAAGGCTGGTTTTACTATTTTAACACAATTTTTTGAGTTTGATTAATGGTCAGTTTGTATAAATTTTTTATAGTCCTTTGGACATTATTAAGTGAAATTATGTTATAACGTTCGGCTGCGAAACTTATATAACTATTATGATGAATTATTTTTAAAATAACAGCAATGGTTTAAAAACATGTAAATTTCTTTGCCATTATTTTTTCTTATTAGCACACTTTATTTTATATTATAACAATATATAATCACATACTTATCTCTATTAGCTTCTACGTGCTTTTCAGTTCTTCATGGTATTCGAGTACATATGTAATGATAAATATAAATCTACTTCATTTACTAACGCAGTTAGTAATACATATTTTTTTTTCATCGGTTAATTTATTGAATCTTTCTAAATAGAAATTGACAAAAATTTTGCAAATCTTAAAAAACTAACATGTTTGCTATTGAGCTAGGGTACTTTTATTTATCAATGATTTTTTTTAAGGCGATTTGGTGGAGTTGCAGAAGATAAGTGTCGAACATGAAGATTTGGATGCGACTTAAGTCTCTGTCGAAATTTAGGTATATCTTGACGAACAACTTCTTCAACAGTTGATAAATTTCGATCTTTGTGTAAATTTTTGTTTTTGACTACCACGGGGCGCATGTAGCTTTCTTTCAAATTTGTGTTATACGCTGAACACCACAAGTCTATACTAGAAGTCCAAATTGGCTTTAATATTAATTTGTAAATTAACAATTTGTTATCGAGACTGAGTGTAGAGTTGCGATTTAGAAGCCAGTACAATTCCTTATCCTTGACATCTTTTGGCTTCAATATGACTTGTCCACGTTAGCCTTCTATCTAGATTTATTCCCTGATATTTCACAGAATGTGATTGGGCGATATCCACATCATTAATTTTAACTGCAGGGCATGTTTCTCTTCTTAGAGTAAAAGTTACTTAAACGCATTTAGTTACATTTACCGTGATTCTCCATTCTGCAAGCCACTCTTCAATCAAACCAAGATGCCTGGCTAAATTTTGTGATGATATAGTGCGGTCACGGTCGGGACTGACTATAGCAGTGTCATCAGCGAACGTTGTCAGAAAATAGTTTGGGTATTGTGGAATGTCAACTGTATAAATTAAGTATAGAAGCGGCACAAAGACGCTACCCTGATATCGCACTCTTGCGAAGTAAAAGATTTGTGTCTATCAGTTGGAACCATCAAGCTGCAAGAAACAGATAACGCCCCAAGATGACATGCCGTAAAAGCGTGCATAACCAAACGAATAAAACATTTAGAAACCGAGATTTGTGGATTTGTGGAGTTCTTGATTGTTTACTAGACTTATCACTGTAATGGAAGTGCAACTCTTATCAAAGAATCTTTAATACAAAGAAGTGGCACGCTCATACAAACGAAATACCCACTTTATTTTGCTGGTGGATTTATAATAAATCCACCCAACCTCATGCAACAATGTTCGATCGAGTCACAACTGGTATGATGTTCAGTTCAAACTCATTGCAACCCACAATTGTTGTTATACGTTTCTTTTGCTTTTCTTGTTTTTATTTGTCTATTTAATTAATATACATGGATAGTGAATGGTAAAGAAATCCCTCAAACAATTTTTCCAAATACTTTGTTGCTCTATTTTCTTGCACTGGAAAGGCCCATATCATAGGAGTAAAGAGTAATAGAATATATTTTTTTTTTATTGCAAAAAATGATGCACTTCAAATGTACAAATGTGATATTGGACACATTAAGTCTGCAGTATATAAATATGTATGTTTTTATTGCACATTTGTGCATATATTTCACCTCAAAAAGAACTACTTCTTAATAGTTTGAATTTTTAGTGACTTTTTGTAATTATTTTAAATAAGACGTGTTTTGTGAAGTCTGTTACAATTTTTAGGATTTTTAAAGAAAATAAAAATATTAGAAATATATGAAAAATTATAATGGAAAAATGTGTAGAAGTCACTAAAACCACTAATAATGCTTCCTGGTTTGAGGAAACGCATGAATGCTATTTACACCGGATTGAAATGTTAAAATTGGTGATTACGATATTGCTTCGGAAAGATTGCGCATGGACAACATTTAAGAATAAAGCTTCATAGAATGGAAAAAATCAGATTTGAGACATAAATAAATTTGTAATGTGTTTTTACACTACAATTCATACCAATAGCAAACAGGTAATTTTGTTTTATACTATTAAATTAAAAAAATTATCAAATGTACACAATTTTGATTTCGTCACTGAAATGCTGTTTGATCGCTTGAACATTTTACAGCGAACAAACACACAAACATGCTTATAATGTAATACAGAGGGTTGCATGTATAATTGAATACGTATGCAGTCGGGCTTTTGTCAGCTTCACTTGACTCCCATATATGGCAGGTTTGAACTGATCATCATACCAGTTGTGACTCAATCGAACATTGTTGCATGAGGTTGGGTGGATTTATTATAAATCCACCAGCAAAATAAAATGGGTATTTCGTTTGTATGAGCGTGGCACTTCTTTGTACTCTAGATTCTTTGCTCTTATTATATTTCTGTTTCACTCATTTTAACAACAATCCAGTTAGTTTTGACAAAACTTAAGTTTTTGTTGTTTTTTCTTTAATTTATCTGATTCCAGGAATAAACTTCCTATATGCTAACATTTTGCATATCTCCTCCATCGTGAGAGGTTCAACGGATAATTTTTTTTCTTTAGAACCAGAAGAAAACCTCAGGCTTGTGTAGGTATTTTGATAACATATTTACTACGTTGACATATGTTTTTTGCATATTTGAAACATAATAAAACTAAATCAATAGAAAACCTTTTCTCCCTACGAGTTGCCCCAACTAAGTGGAGGAGAAATCCAAAATGTTATGGACAAAAATCTTGTCCCTATTTAGGTGTATCAAGTCCATACACTTAAGAAAGTGCATACTTATTTGTTTTCTTTATCATGCTTTTAATTATTTTAATAATTTTGATGGATTGTTTAAACCTAATTGTAGTTATTTTTTAACTGTCTTATTTTATTTAATTTTATATATTATTTCCTTATTTTATTTTCTTTACAGTTGATTCTTCTTATTAAGTATCGTGTTTTTTGTTTTTATTATATTTGTTCACATGCTTTATTTTATTTTAATTTGTAATTCAGTATTAAATATCAGATCCTTTCATACGAATACATTATATTTCAATTTATTTTAATTTTAATTAAAATTTTTTTTTTCATATAATTTTGTTTCTTGCTCGCAAAATATCTGGGTATGAACCTAAATGCCAAACTGAGATAGAAAGTACACGTCAAGCAAAAACTAACTAAGCCAAATATTAATATTAAAAAACTACCTTGGCTTATTGGAAGGCGATCTAAAGTATCTCAGCAAAAAGAACATGATATACCAACAAGTCTTCAAGCATATATGACTCTATAAGGTCCAAATTTGACGTTGTGCTAGAAAACATATAATAGATGTGATACAAAAATTCCAACACACAGCACTTATGGATGCAGTTAACGCCCTGTGGTACGTGGAAATGCTGATCTGCATCGTGACCTTGAAATACCTACTGTCAAGCAAAAAATACAGAAGGTTGCTAAAACACATTATGACAGGTTGAGTCAACATTTATACAGCGCTGTTCCAGCGTTACTTTGCGATGATATACATAGACGCTTAAGTCGCATCACATTAAGGGACTTTTGGAGGTGTTTAAACCAGCAAAGAGGTATTTAGCTCAGATCAATATGCTCAGTTTAGATAACTAACATTACTTGTAATATATTAAATTAAAAAACCTCTTATTAGTCAATATGACTAGTTGTTGTTAATTTAAACTTGCCACTCTGTCTAAATATAA